CCCCCCCCCCCCCCCTTTTCGTTCCCGTCCGTCCCGAAGTAACATTCTGGATGTACAGCATCTGCTCCACCACTCCTAGGATTTTGTTCCAATTAGCCCACTTACCTCTCTATATTTATCCTTGACGGGCATCACATTGAAAACGACGTTATGAAGGTCAAATCATGGAAGGGGTAGCACCCGCAGGATTTCACGGGTAAAGGTACCCGGCGCATTGCTAGCTTCTGGTTCCACTTTTCATTCTTTTCCTTACCCTTCTTTCTCTCCAGAAAAACTAAAATGTGTATCTATTCAGTCTAACATTATGTTTTTCTTTTGCCTCATCTACTAGTAGTCCTCTCCACGTTCCTTCTTGACTATTATCACCCGGAAATGACACTTCGTTAGCAGTGGGAAAAATCTTTTCATCTGCGTTAGAAATTTGTTTGTTTTATTCAGTTATTTTTAGGTACAGTTCAGAAAAAAACGGTTAAATTTTTGCAAATAATTACAGAAATTGGGCCTAAGCTTCATAGTTTCATGAGTTGCTGAGTTGAAAGTGGATGACTGAATCGGGGCAAAGGACAAAATGATATCTGGCGTCCCAGTAAAATATGAAACAGAAATCCAACACATAAATCTCCGCGAAAATCATCGGGCAGAAATTTTCAGGATTCGCTTGTGGATACCAAATGGTTTCGACCGGGTGCGACGCAATCGACAAAGCCAACAGGCAATAAATGGATGAAGCAAGTGAAAAAATCGGAAGCAATTGAACTGGAGGACTATGTGATTGCACGTCGACCTTTTTACGCTCGTTGGTACCAGAATTATCAGAATCGTGCTCTGGCCAAACGTCTTGTGAGTTACAACATATTTCAAACAATCAATTTTTATCGTAAACATTCCTTTGCAATCTTTCATAAACATAATAGGAAATGACATTTTGGAGTGGTTAGGCGGATAGAAGTAAAGATTAAACAAGTGCAAAGAATGGAAAAGGGAAACCACTAAATAAATTAATTTTTAGAAAAAAAACTATTATGCAGCAAAAAGCAAAGCGAAAATTTCCTGAGCAGGAACATATTGTCCAGTGGCTCGCATGCCTTTTCAGGAAATGACCAGAAGAGGAATGTTTCGGTCCAAAAAGTCATGGTCTTTCTTAGCACCAGAATCGGATTTGTTGGTGCAGCAGCTGCACTGGCAAGATCCAGCTGTGTTTCTGACGAGGTCCAATTCTGATGTTGTTAATAGAAATTGTGGTGCTGCTATTTTTTCCCCACCTTTCTCGTTATGAGTCATAAGAGACGTGAAAACTCTGCATATCTCAAAAAACAAAGAAATAATTTTAAAAAAATAGACAAATAATAAATAGTGGCACACATCAGGATGTTGACAAATTCATGCATTTTTACAATATGCTGATGTTCCGCTAATGGTAGATGAATGCGATAAAACAGAAATTCTCATCTCATCCCAATGGTTTTTGACCTGTTTGGTGAATAATAAAATGCAGCTTAGTCGCAGAACAAAACTTTGATTTATCGTACTGCGACGCCTTTAATTTTGCTAGTTCCTTTCGTGTCGATAAGACTTCACGCCAAAATTATCCTCAGCGACAGAGACATACTTTTGTCGCGCTGGCGCATAATAATTCAAAGAAAATCATGAAAATGTGGCGGGGAAAAGTAGCCGTGTGAGCTGGCTCTTGAACGACATATGAAGCACTGGAGAGTGATGGAATTTTAATAACGGGAAGATGTTTTGCTTTCTTGCTGGCTCACAAAATAGCAGTAGAATCCGTAACGGCTGTGACAATAAAAGTGCTACCATCTCTATTTTTCCATATTTTAAAAGAAAGAACTACTTTTGTATACACTTTCTGAAAATTGGAATTTATGACGTAGCCTTCCATTAGCTATGTCTGGAAAATTTTGCAAATTTGAGGCAAAAAGACCGAAATGAGCAATCAAGGTTGTCTACGTATAATGAACAGAACTTGGCATATTCTGTGCCCTCGAATTTTATGGCAAATTTCTTTCTAGTTTTTGAGAAGATACCGGTGAAAAAGTTTTTTGTAAGGTTGAGGCTATTGAAAAAATAATGATATAAATGAAAAATACTGTTGTCGAGAAATTTTTTCGATATCTGGCGCTCATGACAGGGTGCATCTTTGTTAACTTATGTATTCCTGAATGTATAATCCATGTATTATGTGCATTCTAATTCCTTGCATTCTCTCCTCCCTCACCCTCTCCCTTTTCAGCTTAGTCACGGCTCATGCCCTTTTCACTTGCCATTGAGGCAGTAGTTGCCTTCTTGGTGTAATAAAGTGAATTTCGGAAACATTTAGGAAAAGTATGATGAAGACGAAGCGAAAGTGTTCGTGGCGCAAAAGCTTTTCAAAGTGGATGGGATAATATGCGATGAGCAGACCAAACTGCTGCTAATCCAATCCATTGTTCTGGTACCAGCTCATGCTCGAGCAACTGATGAATCCACTGAGCTGATCCGAAAATATGGGTAAAAAACATTTGCACTTGCCGGCTAAATTTTATTTTTCTTAACTGATTGGAAGTCTCAAATCCAAGTTTACTGAAACTGCCCTGTGTAAAGGTGTTGGTATTTCAT